AGACCAAATTTCCACAGCATGGAGTAGACATCTTCAAGAGCTATTGAGAGTAATAGCTTCTATCCTCTTTTTGTTTCCTCTTATTATTTCCTACTTATTCCAGATGTGTGTGTATTTACATTTACATTTCTATTTATAAATATTTAATTCTCCAAGTAATTTGTTGATATTATTTTATCCACTAAGGATCTTTGAGTTGATAGTACAGAAGCTATATATTATATTATAGAGATTTTACAAGTTCCCTTGATTGAAAAATCTAGAAGGAAGTTACTCTTGAGGCCAGGTTTGATCCAATGGCTCCAAAACTATTCTCTTTCCTTCACTCTGCTCTCCACGGTGGTGGCTCCATTTGAAGGCTGCCAGTCCCTGTGTTATGGCATGATCTATACACATTCAGTTGCAAAGCATGATGCTTTCTTGGTACTTTTCTCAAAAACAAATTATTTCCCCTCTTAAATACTTCCTTGTATCTCAGTGGTCTGAATTAAGTCGTGTGCCTGTCCTTGAACCAGTCACTTGCACAAGGGAGTAAACTTCATTGGTTAAGCCAATCCAGAACCACCCTTATTATTGGGGGTGAGGTTAATGTGTTTCATAATGGGAGAAGAGCAGTCTCCTAAAATAAATTGTGGCGAATGAAGAATAGATGTATCAGAAGCAAACAGTCCTGACTGCAGCTCTTTCTCATGTTATGTAAAGAATAACTTCAACAATAAGTTGTAATGCTTATTTTTGTGCATTATGTGCTTGGCACATGCTTAGTTCTTCAGATACATTCAGTCTTCAAAACCATCTGGAGCCATAAATAGAATTTTTGTTTTAAAGAAGTTTGGAAAGATTAAACAGCTTGTCCAAGGCCACAAAGCTAGCTAATCAGACCAGAGTCAATTGGATTTCAATATCCATGCCATGCTCTCCCTAGTAAGCCAAAGTTGGCTTTGAAAATGTATTCTATTAGAAATTCATCATGATGAAGAATACTGGAAAATAATCCATCCTATTTTAGTTTAGTATGTAGTCTACTCACAGAAATAAGCCTTGTTAAGACAGTTACAACAGAGAAGTGATCTTGTTTTGTTCTTTTTTGTACACCAAGATTCTTAATTGCAGCGGCCAGGTAGGGTACTCTGTGCTATATGTATACACAAATCCATGTGTCTATGTGCATGCATCCACCAATGCATACATAAATATATTTATACATATGAGCTGCATATATAAGTATTTTGTATATCACAAGTTCTGAGAGAGGTTCTAGAACTTGATACTTAATGAAAATGACAAAGTGAGATCAAACGGACTCCACAGCAAGGGTGGGGAATACTTGGCCCCTGCTCTGGCCCTAACAAGGCATGAGGGGTGAGTTAACTAAATGTTTGACCAAATATAGCAGGCTAATTTTTAAGTTGATAATTTTGGCTCTCGAATGATGTTATAAATATCCACATCGCCCTTGGCAGAAAAAAGGTTCCTCACCCCTCCTCTACAGTATCCTCTCAGTGAATACTTGAGACTACATGATCTGATATCAATCTCCAGTTCTTCCTCACTTAATAAAGTACCAATGAAGTATCATGCCCAAGGGAAGAGTTCTGGCCAGTCTGAATTGCTTTCTGGGTATATTCTAGGTGTAATTCCATACTCTAGCCCCATGGGGCATTTACTTCCTGTTTCAGGGTTCCTAAAGCTTGCACTTGCCCAAGGCTCAGGCTTTCAGGACTGAATCATTTAATTTTTACTGGAGGCCTTGCTTTTCTACAGCCATCTGCAAGAAACTGACTAGGACTGTGGAATAACATCTTAACATCACTGTGTCTATGGCTTGCTTCTATAAATTGGAAATAAATTTAAATTTTACTTCAACAATTTAATGATTGTAAGCAAGACATTTCTCTAAGGCAAATTTTTTTGGATTAACTAAGAGACAGACTCCCCTTTATCTGAATCTTTATATAGCCATGTCATATATTTAGAAATAGCTGTATCTAACTCCTCTTTCCCAATACTCTACCTTCACTTTTTAAATTTAAAAAAAAAATGTTTTTATTGGCTTTTATAAAGAGGGAAGAAGAGGGAGGGAGAGAGAAACATCAACAAAAGAGAGAAACATTAATCCCTTGCCTCCTGCACACACGGACACCAGGGATTGAACTCACAACTTGGATATGTGTCCTGACCAGGAATCAAACCAGGATCTTTCTGTGCACGGGAGGACCCTCAACCAACTGAGCCATATTGGCCAGGCTATACTTTACCTTTATTGACTTGGTATAATTTTTCAGCCAATTTTTAATGTTATTTAAATGTTTCTTTTCTTTGTTTACCCATAGATTATGCATTTGTTGTTTTAATTGTACCTACTAAGGCTTGCTTCTTGGCAAATAATTTCGTTTTTAGATGATGTAATTTCTAAGGCAGTGGTGTTACAGAGCTCAGAGTCTTAAATACACAAGTTTTATTGATGGAATGTAGATTTCAATGGCATCCATCAGGTGCTATTGATAAGAAATGTAATGTCATTTTAACATTTAACAAGCATTTAAAAAGCAAGAAACTGACTAGGACTGTGGAATAACATCTCCTCCTTGTCATATAAATAATTTTTACACATTAATTCAAGAAATGTTTATTGAGATATTATTACGTTCTAAGCATCATCTGGTCTGTACAATTCTCTTTACCAGGATTATAATCTGGGGTGAGCATTGGGAGTACAAGGAGGGTTGTAAGAAGGAGAAAATTTAAAAAGAGCTGGAGGAAGATAGAAAAGAGCTGAATATAAGCTATCTAGGGAGAGAAATAATATTAGGAGTTGACAGAACATTGGAGTTGTCATAATGCTGCTTTAAATCAAATTCCAGAAAAGATATTTTCACTTGAAAGTCATTCCACAGCGTAAACAAATTCTGAGGTTTCAAGACCAGAGGGTGCATTTTTTCTAAAATAGGCCAGTGTACTCTAACAAAGAATTAATGTATACATGGGAATATTGGTCCAAATAATAACTTGAACTAAATATTGATTTTAAGTCCATTTTAATAGACATTTTTGTGCTTATTAAAGGTGAGAAGTTGGATAGTTTTTTCTTTTTACTGTGGCATTTATGTGTTTTGTTCAGAAAATTAGTTAAATTTGATAGAAACTATTTCAACAATCTCCCTAGTAATTTAATACATTTGATATTCTCCTTAAAAAGACAAAAATGAAAAACAGAAAGAAGGAAGCTGACACTGTTAAAGTTATTTTTAAGCATAGGTCTTACTGATTTTATAAATGGCCCACCTAAATTTGTGTAACACTTGATTTGTGAATAAAAGAAGACGTTCAGAAAATAATATTATAAGGAAAATTAGGCAGGTTCTTATTTTCTAGGTATTCTCATTAAAGAAAAAGCCGTTTAAGTCTTTACTTCTAGAGTTGTTGCACTTTAGGAAGCCTAGGCCATGGTGAAGAGGATAAGAAAGTTTAGGAAATGGAAATTAAAATGCTAATTTCTCTTGCAAAAACCTGGCTAATATCTGAAGGCCTAATAGAAAGTGGGAATGATTATTTTTAGAGGACATCCATTCTAATATACTTTAATTTTTAATTATATTTATTAGGGTGACATTGGTTAATAAGTGTTTCATATAATACATCATCTGTATATTGCTTTATGTGTTTACCACCCCAAGTCAAATCTTCTGTCACCATGTAGTTGATTCGCTTTTCCTTATCTTCCCCTTTCGGCTGGTAACCAGCACACCATTGTCTGTGTCTATAAGTTTTTGTTTGATTGTCTTGTTTGTTCATTTCTTGCTTTTAGCTTTATAGTCTACATATGAGTGAAATCATATGGTTCTTGATTATTTGAATGCAATACATTATACACTAACAAGAGAAAAATAATCAAACCATAGCCTTCAATGCTGTATTAATAATGAATTCAGTTTAAGGCTGTATTATTTTACATGATAATCCTGGCCACATATAGCTTCTGAGCTCTTGAACTTTTGAAATGTGGATAGTGCTTCTTTAAAAAACTGAATTTATAATTGTATTTCATTTTAATTGTTTTAAAAATTGATACATGATTCAATTATTGGAAAATTTATGTTTGGAACAACCTATGTATATGAATTTACTTTATAACTGTAAATTTTATGAACTCTAAATACAGATCAAGTATTTCCAGATGAAAATTTGCATCTAAATTGAGATGTCCCATAAATGTTAAACATATTCTAAAGACTTAGGATGATAAAATGTAAAATGTCTCACTTAGAATTTTTATAATGATATATGTTGATAAATAATGTTTGGATCTATTTGCTAAAGAAAAAATATGTTATTAAAGTAAATTTCACCCTTTGTTGTTACTTTTCAAAATGTGACTATCAGTAAATTTAAAATTACTGTGTGGCTTGAATTATATTTCTTTTGAACTATGCTGGTTTAAGGTGCTTCTCCACATCATTAAAATTCATTTGATGCCTAAAAATGCAATCTGGTGCAGCAAATAAATCTTATTAGCAAAATCTTACCCATTTCCCCACTCTGTCTGGGTCTACTTACAGTTGATAGTATTGTTAATAATCTCAAAATATTTTTAAAGCAATTACTGAGTCTAATAACTAATTCAATATTATTCAGTTTTTTGTTTAATTCATAATAATTACAATCTTTTATTTGATATTAGAGAGACAGTAAAATTTCTTACAAAATTTTAGTCGGGCAAATTGGTGAGAAATTGCATGTTTTTGTTTAAATATTATCATCCTGTGAAAGGTATTGATAACATGCAATGTGAGGCACTTAAAGTACTAAAACTGTACCTGGGAGAGTTAATGGTGTCTCTTTTCTCATAAAATGTATCCTTTTTATAATTTCTTTCATCACCACCTCAAACAAAATGGCCAAATGTGTTGTGCTTTTTGTTCTGTGAGGTATCTATAATAGGCAACAAATGTGACTGTCATCATGATCTTGTCTGATTCTTCATCTGTCAATTCTTCTAGGAGGTGATTTCCTCTCCTATCTGAGAAAAAAGAAAGATGAAATAAAACCCAAACTATTAGTGAAATTTTCATTAGATGCTGCTTGTGGTATGGCATATCTCGAAAGTAAAAATTGTATACACAGGTAAGGAGAATATTTTAAAAACATTTCCACTTTTATTAAAAGAATGCTAGAAAATTATATATTTGTTACAATACAGCAATAAATTTCTTTTACAAAATTTAAATATTTTCATTTTAGTTTTCATATTGTGTGTAAAAGCATAATTTGATAGTTGTTTATACAGGAGTGGGCAAAATTAGGGCTATAATTGCTATGTAAAATAATACAATAATAATGGGATAAGAATAAACTGTTTTATGTACTCACAACTGTAAACCTTTTGCCCATCCCTGTATAGTTCATAGAAACATTTTTTTCTATCTTACTTGAGGTAAATACAATGATTGGCAATGATTTACATATCAAGTAAAATTTGTTTTGTTATAATCATGAATAACATAGTGGTAAGTTATACCACAAGTTAGTCATATATGCAGCTACAGTCTCATAGCCAATAATACTGTTTCATGTGTCACCTATTTCTAGTATTTCAAAGAATTTACTTTAAAAGTCATGGAAAAGCATAACAGTAGAACAACAATTCATGATAGTGAATTTAACCAAGGGTAAAAGATTTTAGTGTACTAGTTATTTCAAATAAATTTTTAGAAAACATTCTCTAATTATATTACAACCTATGACTAGTTCTGAATGCTTTCTGGATTATGGTTAATGTTCTTTAATGCTAAAAGTTACTACAACTTAAGATTTCTTGCAGAATTTATGTTAGATCATAAATATGGATAAGACTATATTTATAAAATGCTGTGTATAATTGATGAAGTTTTTAAACATTCTGGTGGGTTTATATAATATATATAATTAGAGCAGAATAAAGTTAACTTCCCCGATATACACATCAATGGATATTTTTTGTACTTAATCTCTCATACACATTTTTTTAAAATATATGTTTTTAAGAGGAATGAAGAGGGAGAAAGAGATAGAAACATCAATGATGAGAGAGAATCATCGATGGCCTATGTCCTGAAAGCCCCACACTGGAGATTAAACCTGCAATCTAAGCTTGTGCCTTGACCGGGAATTGAACTGTGACTTCCTGGTTCATAGGTCGATGCTCAACCACTGAGCCATGCTGGCTGGGCCCCCATACAAATTTTGCTTAGTGTTCAGTTTTATTCTAAAGCTAAAATTAAGGCTTATGCTTCAAATATGCTTTAATGATTATATATATTTAAAAACATTTCAATAAGGAAACTATTTTCTGGAATTTAAAACACCTATAATGGTCATTGTATTTATGTTTTACTTTCTATAAATAGAGATCAAATTACATTATAATAGATATTTTTAAAGACTTAAAGTATTTGATTTTGGACCAAATTGTATTATTATTTACTTTATTAGACAAAACACTTTTTGTTCAAAGTAACAAAGGATTTTGCCTTTTAGAGGAAATCAATAATTTTAATGGCTCATATGTTAATGCTACTATGGGTATCAGATTTTCTACTTTATTCTATTTTTTTCAGATTCCTTTTCTATGGTTGTAAATTCTAATGTACATTATTGAAACTATCTTACTAATTTTTCAATTACCAGTAACATTCTTTAATTTCTATTGCATTGGGGTTGTTTCAGTTTCTTGCTGCTTTTGTAGTGATTGCTTTTCTACAAGTGGAGGGCAGTAATATATTTTTTTATCTATATCATCAGAATTGAAACCATTCTAAGTCATAGATAGCAGTTTTTAAAAATGTATTCCACTCACTAAACCACAACATCATCTGCTGTAATGTTATATTTCCATTTTTCTTTTTAAGAAGTTTCATGCATTCACAAATTCTTGAAAGTCAGCCTATGCTTGACCACATTTCCTAGAAAGTTGTGCATAGCATGTACTATATGCCTGCAGAGAAGGTTCCAAGTGAAATATCTTGAATAATGGCACTGAGAGCAGATATGACAAATAGGTTTCAGTGCCAACTTTCAGTGATTGGTAATGGCTCTCAGTGTTGTGTATTGAGAAGGATTCCAGGATTCGAAACAAAGATTCCAGTGATCAATTAGTCAAGTTTGTCAGGGTGCTGATAAACGTTAGTTAACACATAAGCACCAATTTTGTAATTTGTGGCATAACACATTTTTTGTCTTTACTTTTATAAATATTTTTGACATTTTTCTTACTAGTTATAGCAACAATACATATTTTTCTATAATCACTTCCATTGATTTCTTCTAAACTATGTGCTATTATTTCCTTTGCTAAGCATGATTCCTGAATGAATTTTATGTTACCTCTAGCCAATGGTCTTTCATTTCTCTTCAAACTTATGTAAATGTTCTATTGAGTGAATTCACTTTTTTCCTATTCATTTAAAGTCATTCTTTGGGTTGAATTTTTTATGGGTATGAATTTTGCTATAAAACTCTGTTTCTATGTGTCATCCTGTGGCAGTATTTCTGTGTTAGTAGTAATTGCAGTGGAATTTTAATTGATTTATAGTTAAAACTTTCACTCAAGACATGTTTTATGTTTTTTCTCCCAAGAAATAGCAAACATATAGTATTCATTACAATGAAAGATGTTTTTTTCCCCAACTTCCAATGAGGTATTTCAAAATTGATTAATCTAAAACATGATCAGAAGTTTCATTTTTCAAGTAATGAAAGATACAAAGACTCATTCTTGACATCCCAAAACATTACTAAAACATATGCATGTCTATGAATTACAAAGTCTTTGTCCCACAAATCAAAGCAAAAAATTTAAATATGCCTTTTATTTTACATGAAGTTATAAATTTTATCCTGTTCCCTGATTAGAGGTTACTGGATTTCAGTTGCCTGAAAATAATTATTTCTCCCCAAAATAGTATCTTACCTATTGGGAAACACATTTTCTTTCTTTAGAAAGTGTTTTATTGTTTTGATTACAGGAAGAGCAGAGCATGTTTCATTATAGGCAAACAAGTATGACAGCTATAAAATGAAAACAAGTAATTGCGTAAAGAAATGGCCTGCTTTTGGAAAGTGCTCTTGTTGTAATTCCCATTTAACTTCCAGGAGAGTTCTCGTGATAGTCTGGGTTTCTAATTGAACTATTTCTATTTATAGCTGAGCAGTACTACATATTTTACATTTTACTTTAGTTGTATTCAGCTGAATTTTCTTTATTACTTTTCTGTAGGCCAATGTGAAGTTATTTCCTACTTGTACTTTATATGAACATTTCAAGAACACTGATAACTTGAGGGATGGGGAAGGAAGGGTGAACGAACGTATTTACTTGCAATGGCCTGCTATTAGATTGTTAGATGCTGTTCTAGAAAAAGTTTTAAAACTTCATTAATTGACATTAAGTGGATTGAAGGTTGACATAATCGATTTAATGGTAATGATAGTTGTGGTTTTATTGATGATGAATCCTGCAAGATTTATTCTTATTTAGGATCATTCCTAAAAGTTGGTTTTGTGACATGTCCTTTGTTTGATGTCCCTGGGAAGTAAAGGGAGAATAAACCCTTGATTGCTATGTATTTGAATTAAAGATCATAATCTGTGGGGAGTTTTTAAGCAAATCTTAATTTCAAGATATTCTATGTCATTGTCAGTACCTGAAAAAGGTGTTTTTGGAGGAGTGCCGTGTAATATGCTTTGCTTTTCTAATTTTAAATCTTGTACTGATTCCTCTTTGGTTTTGGTTGCTCTACCACAATGATTTTGTTGTTGCTGTTTTGGAGTAAGGCTTAACAATTCTACAAAATAAATTATATATAAGAATAAATTTAATTTATGTATAGTAAGGGTGTTTTTCTTATCCATTGAGAACGATATTTCTATCATACATTTAACACATGTGAATACTTGCCTACTCTGGGCCAGGGTAATAGCAACATGAAAATCACAGTACCTGCTCTCAGATGGACATAACAAAATAATAATTTAAAGAGATAATCAATGTAATGGTACTATGTACAAAATCTCAAGGGAGTGATATCACAAGGGTCTAATGTGACCTGTCAGGAAGGGGACTATGGGAAAGTCATCAGGACAAGTTTTGCAGACTTGATAAATGGGAGTGTCCTTGAATAGAAAGGGAAATATTTCAGTGGAAGGAAACTTGTTTGCAAAGTTACAGTATTTTTCACAAGAGATCAAGACTTAATCATGGAACTACAAATAATTCAATATAAGAATGGGAAGTGCAGAAGACATGTAGCTGAGCTGAGTACATAGGGTCCTTCTTACTAACTTTAGGAATACCTAGCCATACTTTTGGCTAATTTTAAAAAAACTAACATGCTGCAGCATTTAACTGGAAAAGAAAAGTAATTTGAACAAAACTTGTAAAACCCTGAAAAATCTATGTATATAAAACCCTAAGCAACTGGTCAACCTACGGGCAGCTGGCACTCACAGCTGCGGTGGTGTGAGCCTCTCTGACCTCCAGCAGCTCTACCAAGTGGTCACTGTAGCAGGCACAGTGGGGCCAGGATGAGCAGGAGCAGCATGGCACCTGCCTGGGCTCTGGCTCGGGCTCGGGCTCGGGCTCGGGCTCGGGCTTGGGCTCAGGCTCGGGCTCAGGATCCTCCCCAGCTGCCTGCCACTTCATTCACTACTATATCCCTCGGTGTCGGACTGCTGGTTTTGGCCCGGTCCCTTCCAGAGATCCCGCTGACACAAGCAGTCTGACAACCCACTGAGGGGTCCTGCATTGTGAGAGAGCACAGGCCAGGCTGAGGGAGCCCATCAGTGCACGAATCCGTGCACCGGGTTTCTAGTGTATATGTAACTTGTGAAAAGGTGTGGGTATGGGACCAATTTTATTTTTAAGTTTCATTGGAAAAACTAGTTTGAAAAAACTAGGATTTCCCCCATAAGGGACAATGTTAAATTTCACTGAAATATATTCTAAAAGGAGATTGTTTCATCTGATTTTTGGCAAGGCTTAGATGTATATATTTTAAGATAAATAAAAGATGCTGCTTCTAACATATTGGGATTTTGTGATTTTTATATTTTATGAAGTTAAAGATTTGGTCTGATATTAATCATTT